TTGTTTACATCTGAGCAGAAGTGACAAAATCCCTTGTCGCTTCGAGTTTTAGACCATAGAGCTGATCAGGGATCTTCTACACCGTGTTCCAAATTATTATGCAAATTATTTTTCTCATTTACCTTGATGTTGATGTAAATAACAGCATAATTCTCATGTTATCAACTATTAAGAGTACAATTCAAATTTTATTGAACAAACCCAATGATAACAGTATTTGTTTTAAACATAAAGCACTTACAATGCACTGTTCCAAATTATTACGCACAGTACGTTTCAAAACACTTTATAGGTTGTAAAGAACTGAAAATTGTCATTTGTTGTGTTTGCAGCATATTTACTGAAATCGAAAGCTATTTCAATCAAACTTTTAACAACATTTTAACTTTTTAAACATTTTAACAGGTCACGTTACATTGTAACATAGGACCCCTTATTTGATAGCAGCTTCACAAGTCTTGCACCAATTGAACTTGTGAGTTTTTGGACCGTTTTTGCTTGAATTTGTTTGCAAGATGTCAGAATAGCCTCCCAGAGCTGCTGTTTGGATGTAAACTGCCTCCCACCCTCATAGATCTTTTTCTTGAGGATGCTCCAAAGGTTCTCAATAGGATTGAGGTCAGGGGAGGATGGAGGCCACATCATGACTTTCTCTTTTTTTATCCCCATAACAGCCATTGATGCAGAGGTATTCTTTGCAGCATGAGATGGTGCATTGTCATGCATGAAGGTGATTTTATTACGGAAAGCATAGTTCTTCCTTCTGTACCAGGGAAGAAAGTGGTCAGTCATAAACTCCACATATTTTGCAGAGGTCATCTTTACACCTTTGGGGACCCTAAAGGGGCCGACCAGCTCTGTTCCCATGATTCCAGCCCAAAACATGACTCCACCACTGCCTTGCTGAGGTCACAGCCTTGTTGGAAAAGGGTGGCCGTCCACCAACCATCCACTACTCTATCCATCTGGACCATCCAGGGTTGCACGGCACTCATCGGTGAACAGGACTGTTTGAAAATTAGTCTTCGTGTATTTTTCTGCCCAGTGCAGCCGTTTCTGCTTGTGAGCATTGGTTATTGGCGGCCGAATAGAAGGTTTATGCACAGTTGCAAGACTCTGGAGGACTCTACACCTTGATATCCATGGGACTCCAGAGCACCAGCAGCTTCAAATATCTGTTTTCTGCTATGTAATCGTATTTTAGCAGCTGCTCTCTTGATCTGTTGCATGGTTCTGGCAGAAATCTTCCTCATTGTGCCTTTATCTGCACGAACCCATCTGTGCTCTGAATCAGCCACAAATCTCTTAATAGTGCGATGATCATGCTTACGTTTTCGTGAAATATCTAATGTTTTCATACCTCGTCCAAGGCATTGAACTATTTCACTCTTTTCGGCAGCAGAGAGATCCTTTTTCTTCCCCATATTGCTTGAAAATGGTGCTCTGCTTAATAATGTGGAACACCCTCCTTTAGTAGTTTTTCCTTAAATTGGGCTCACCTGCTAATCTAAATATCACAGGTGTCCGAGATTGTTTTCAGTGATCAAAAGAGCCCTGACACACAATGCCATCCATGAGTTACACTGAAACAAAATATTTAATCTTTGTGACACTTAGGCTTGCCATACATTACACAATTATCTGGAGACTTTTGGTTTAGATTTACCAAAAACCATATAATAGGAGGACAAACCTAAACAACACTTTCAGTTGTATCATATTAGGCAGGTCCTTGCACTACACAGTTGAAGGTAAATCTAAAGGAAATAAGGCAGAAAATTGGAAGATAATTGTATAATGTATGGCCAGCCTAAAATAGAATTTTCATAATAATATGGAGCGCGGTGTAGTGCTCGGTCATCTCTAAGGTAAGCCAGCATACACCCAACGTCAACATGTAAAAGGGATCTAGTGACTATTTAGCCTCTAAGATTTCTGTTACATTATACATCGCTGGCTAAAAATTTCAATATCGGGATGCTGCTAGAGGCATCTTCTCGGTAATAACCACTGAAACTCTAGGACGTCCTATGATATCCTAAAGGTGGGAAGTGGTTTAAGATGCCTTGGACAAATAAACCTCATTTGCTCTGGTGTGGGCAGCCTTACAATAATTTAGGCTGTAGTTGTGGGCCAAAGCCTCAAAGTCTGGACTTGTCACATGACAAGGGAGAGGAGTCCTACTAGTGGTCTGTTCCCTGGGTATTCCTTTTTATAGGTTACCTGGACATCCTACTTCTAAGGGAGCAGTCTGCTTCTCTGCTACGGTTTGGATGGGTTCTGTATCTACAGAACTCTGCTTTAATCTCAACTCAAAGCTGGAAACTTGGATGTGACCCTGGATATCATTCAGGCAAGGGTGATGCTCTCTACAGAGAACTACCTTTTGGATTTGCCTTTGCATGAGGGTTCTGGATAAGATGATACTTGATAAAATACAGAGAGGTTAGAATTTGTGTGTCCGGTTATTAATATTTTGTGTTCCTGTTAGGGAGATTTCCCCTCGATATTTGTACTGTTCACTGATGACACTAGGACTAAAGGAGCAAGAACTGGACTAGAGTAGAAATCTTCCAATCTTATCCCCTGACAGCTGGGAATTTCTGGTGTTTACAGGACAGGAAGTGAATGAAAATCTCTTGAATGGGGCACATATGAAAAAATAAAAATCTGACAGTGGTTGTAATCCTTTACAACTTTATCTAAAATGTTAAAGAAAATTGTCTTTTGTCAGGTTTTTGTCTTTATTCTCATTGAAGAGCTTTCCCCAGGGGGCCACAATAACAAACACAGCAGAAAAGAGTATAATCCTACCCAACAATTAAAAGAAAAATAGTGTCTTGCTAACTTGCTTTCTGTCCAATGTGGCTAGTTCAGGAAGGGAGAAGATGACCTATGAACATGGATGGAGATAAACCGTGAAACTTTGGAGATCTAAACCTTTGTGTGTGTGTGTGTGTGTGTGTGTGTGTGTGTGTGTGTGGGCCTTTTTTTGTTTTTTGTTTTTTTTTTTAAGGCCTTCTATTAAAAGCTGAAATGATTATGAAAATGAATGTTGAGGTCACATGTTCAGGTTGGGACAATCAGTTGACCCCCCCCCCCCCCCCCCCCCCCAGCCTGGGGGGAAAAAAAAAACATGCATGGGCCCCATATATAGTTGCATGCCCAGCATTTGTAAATTTGCCGCAGGCTTCTTTGTTTGATGTATTGCTTTTTTTTATTCCAACCACATTTTGTCACTTGTGTTAATATTTAAGTAATATTGATGATAGAAGCATGCTGCTTGTGTGTTCTGTTCATTGTCTACATTTTGTGCTTTTATATATTTGTATATTATAAGGTATAGATTTTGTTAAACCTTGCATATGAGAGTGACATTTTTCATCCTTGGGAAAGTCAAGATATCCTAAAGACTAGTTGACCTTTGTAGAAGAATTTCTGTCATTCAAGACCGTAGGTTAATTTTTTTTTTTTTATCAGGAAAATCCCAGCTGCTGTGCACGGCTAATATAAAGCTTATTTGCCACTTCTACTGAAAAGTAGAAAACTGCATAGAATGCCTTCCCAAAGAATAGAGTTGCATGCATTTACCTCTCTGATATGACTTAGCATATATATATATATATGTGTATGTGTACGAGTGCCTCGGCTCTCGGGACTGTCCCTCATTGGCTTAGACCACAGCTGGAGCCATTGAGGAGAGAGGGGGGGCAGAGCCGAGCCACGGCTCTGTGTGTGAAGGGACATGCAGAGCAGTGTCTCATGAGTGCACCTGCTTGGGTGCCCCCATAGCTAGCTGCTTGCTCTGGGGAAAGGAGGGACGGGCCAGGAGCGCCAGCAGAGGACCCGATAAGAGAAGAATCAGGATTCTCTGTGCAAAACCACTGCACATGCTAGTCCCCGATCTGCTGCGCTATGCTTCCATAAGACACATAGAGCCGCAGCTGGGCCCCACACCCTGCTCTCTCCTCATTGGATCACTGTCTCAGCCAATGAGGAGGAAGAGACCCCAGACAGCAGAGGCTGTCTAGAATGTCACTGGATTAGAGGGGGCATAGTTAAGGATTGGGGAGCTGGGGGGGGGGGGGGGGGGGCAGCTGCACACAGGTTTTTTACCTTCATGCATAGAATTCATGAAGGTAGAAAACCTTGAGCCTTTAGAGCCACTTTAGATACACGGGAAATAGGTACTTGAATAATATTTTTTTTTTTTTTTTTAAAGTAGGTTTTGTTTTAGGAATAATCGTATATTTTTAGTTGATTTATTATTGAAACCTCCTCTGAGATGGAATGGGTTTATTTCTGGATGGTCAATGATGAGCTGAATTGTCCACCGACTCATTTTTCTGCAACTCCATCCTAAATATATTGCCCCTCCAAAGATCTAAGCTCTGCCTTTTCATGCAGTTGAAAATAATGTTTCAGCTGCATTTTTAATAAAGTGGAACACATTTATAAAGCTGGAAAAATAGAACATCTACTCCTGTAATGGATGTGACAGGTAGATGGAACCTAGGCTGAGATCTTCTGGAGGCTTTGCTAGCTATAAAGAGAGAGAGTAATTCCTTGTGTCAGGCCTGTGTTAATTGTGTGTGAATTTACCCCTGAAATTTGCCAACCCTTAGTTATTTAGCCCTTGTAATGGTAAATGGCAGAGGCTCCAATTAATACTAAGAAGAAGCCCTTGTAATTGGGTGCAAATGGCAAGCTTACTGAATATACTATGTGCTCATGGTTCAATTTATTCACATTGTACACATTCATAGGAGCTTAAGTAAAGATATAATATGTAAATAAATCAGAATGCTAAATATACAATGTTGTGTAAGGTGGGCTAAGGGTAGGTTAAATTCTTGATACTGCCAAAATTTTAGTTGTAATATAGCAATCTGGTTCCCAACCCTTTTTTTTTTTTTTTTTTTTTTTAACCTCTTGATCAGGTAATAAAGAAACATATTGCATGGGGCTTTTCTCCTTATTTGTATGTATTTTCTTGTTAGGTGGTCAAGAAGAATATGTTTTATCGTATGAACCAGTCAGTCAACATGAAGGTTTGTAAGAATCAATTTACTGTTTTACCCATTTTGCAATGTTTTTTTTTTCTATTTTCTTTGGGGACAGTTCAAGATTAGTTCTACTTTTAAGTTGACACGAAATCCACTATTTCATTCATATTATCACCTCTCTTTGTGTGTGTGTGTGTGTGTGTGTGTGTGTGTGTGTGTGTGTGTGTGTGTGTGTGTGTGTGTATGTATATATATATATATATATATATATATATATATATATATATATATCACTCTATTTTGCCAAAAGTATTGAGACACCCCTCCAAATAATTGGATTCAAGTGTTCCAATCACCTCCATGGCCACATGTGTATAAAGTCAAGCACCTAGGCATGCCGACTGCTTCTACAAACATTTGTGAAAGAATGGGTTGCTCTCAGGAACTCAATTGAAAGTGAACTCAAGCGTGGTACCGTGATAGGTTGCCACCTGTGCAATAAGTCCATCTGTGAAATTTCCTTGCTACTAAATATTCCACAGTCAACTGTTAGTGGTATTATAACAAAGTGGAAGCAACTGGGAACAACAGCAACTCAGCCACAAAGTGGTAGGTGTTTGTAGAAGAAAACAAGCTGTGCAGCTTTGAACAAAATTGAATATTGTTGCTCCAGGCATAGGCTGTTTACATACCTCACGAATCTTGACCTAAAAACTCCTAAAATGTGGGGCCTCCTAAATGGGGCCTAGCTATTACTGTTTATCTTCACCATTACAGGAGCAAGTTCTTTCTCTGATTCAAACCTCCACGTATGCAGTAGCTCAGAGTTTGAGACCTTCATTAGCAACAGCCTGGGAATTTTCAGGTCTGGCAACATGAGGTAATGTGAATGGCTTACACCTATAGCATTATTTAACTTTAGTCAAAGCTTCACAGTTTATCTACAGATGCCCCTTATCTGCATAGGCAAGTTTTTGGTAAAGGTGTACTAACCCTTTAAGGGGTCAACTTGAAGGACTCTGACTGTGACACTGTTGGTCACGTAGCAGCTCAATGTTTGAATTTGGCTTAATAGCAGCCCTCTATTGCACCTGTACGCATTATTTGGCTCTACTGCTCCTGCGTGAGTCTCCATCCTGGGTTCGCAATGCACATGCTCACCATTGTCCAGTGCACATTGACCTCATTGCCTTCCCACTTTCTCCAGTGTCTATGCACCGCCTCCACGATCTGGTCACTAATAACATTAACCCATCCTGCTCAAGCATCTATTTGTGAGAACATCTTATGGGTGATCCCTTATATACCCATTGTGAAGGATCATAAAAGCATAAGGACCAGTCCTCAGGGCCTTGCTAGCTTATAGTCCTCTAACTGTGTTGGGTGTCTTGCAGAGGTCTCCCTAACGGACCTAACACCCATAGCCTGGTCCACTGTTTCCTGACTGAGTTACAACAACACTCAGTGTTTCCTAACCCCTTCAAGGGTAACTCCCTGTTTTGTATTATTGGGGAGGAATTCCTGTTATGTCTGAATTTATGGGGGAAATTACTCCCCAGAGTACCCTATCCTTGTTTGTGGACTTGGTATAGGTGGAGACTCAGTCCAAAGATATACAGAGAGGAACAGAAGTATTTGAACACCCTGCGATTTTGAAAGTTCTCCCACTTAGAAATCATGGAGGGGTATGAAATTCACATTGTAGGTGCATTCCCACTCTGAGAGACAGAATTTAAAAAAAAAAAAAATCATGAAATCACATTGTATGATTTTTAAAGAATTTATTTGTCTTGCACTGCTGAACAAAAGTATTTGAACACCTGAGCAAAACAATGTTAATATTTGATACAGAAGCCTTTGTTTGTTTGCAATTGCAGAGGTCAAACGTTTCCTGTAGTTCTTGACCAGGTTTGCACACACTGCAACAGGGATTTTGGCCCACTCCTCCACACAGATCTCCTCTAGATCTGTCAGGTTTCGGGGCTGTTGCTGAGCAACACGGAGTTTCAGCTCCCTCCAAAAATGTTCTATTGGATTTAGGTCTGTGGACTGGCTAGGCCACTTCAGAACCTTGATATGCTTCTTTCGGAGCCACTCCTTGATTATCCTGGCTGTGTGCTTCAGGGTCGTTGTCATTTTGGAAGACCCAGCCACGACCCATCTTCAATGCTCTGGCTGAGGGAAGGAGGTTGTTGCTCAAAATCTCACAATAAATGGCCCCATTCATCCTCTCCTTAATACAGTGCAGTCGTCCTGTCCCCTTCACAGAAAAACACCCCCCAAAGCATGATGTTACCACCCCCATGCTTCACAGTAGGGATGGTGTTCTTGGGATGCAACTCATCTTTCTTTTTCCTCCAAACACGACGAGTGAAGTTTAGACCAAAAAGTTTCTTTGGTCTCATCTGACCACATGACTTTCTCCCATGCCTCCTTTGGATCATCCAGATGGTCATTGGCAAACTTCAGACGGGCCTGAACATGTGATGACGTGAGCAGGGGAACCTTCCGTGCAATGCATGATTTAAAACCATGATGGCGTAGTGTTCTACTGACAGTGACCTTTGAAACTGTGGTCCCAGCTCTCTTCATGTCATTGACCAGCTCCTCCCTTGTAGTTCTGGGCTGATTCCTCACCTTTCTTATCAGTGATACCCCACGAGGTGAGATCTTGCATGGAGCCCCAGTCCGAGGGAGACTGACAGTCGTCTTTAGCCTCTTCCATTTTCTAACAATTTCTCCAACAGTTGATCTATTTTCACCAAGCTGCTTGGCAATTGCCCCGTAGCCCTTTCCAGCCTTGTGGAGGTCTACAATTTTTTCTCTGGTGTCTTTTGCCAGCTCTTTAGTCTTGCCCATGGTAGTAGTTGGCGTCTGACTGTGGGGTGGACAGGTGTCTTTAAAGAGCTCAGACAGGTGCTACTAAGTTAGATTAATGAGTGAGTAGAGGTGGACTTTTTAAAGGCACAGTAACAGGTCTTTGAGAGCCAGAATTCTTGCTGTTTCTTAGGTGTTCAAATACTTATGTTCAGCAGTGCAAGACAAATTCTTTAAAAATCATACAATGTGATTTCATGAATTTGTTTTTCTAAATTCTGTCTCTCAGAGTGGGAATGCACCTACAATGTGAATTTCAGATACCTCCATGATTTCTAAGTGGGAAAACTTGCAAAATCGCAGGGTGTTCAAATACTTCTGTTCCTCACTGTAACTCTAAAACTTAAGGATATCATATTGATCTCTAATGATACAGTCCCCCACATAACTAGACTTGAGGATACTGCCTCAATTATATCTAAAATGACTAGCTTGAGTTCTCTAAGACATTCCAAACCTGTTAAGATTTTTAAAGTGCATTCACTTTTGCAATCTGTTCTGAATAGTGACTTGCTTAATCCGTGAAAAGGCTCTGCTCTTCCCAAACATTTTGCTCAGAAACATCCAATTGAGTAGGGATTCAAAAAAAGTTAGCCTTTCCTGTAAACTAATCAGTGTTTAAAGGTAAAAAACTGCAAGCCCTTTCGAGGGCCTAATTGTCCCTTGCAGGCCTTGTCCTGCAACCTGCTATTGTTGCAATGTCCAGTTGCCAGGCCATAGTTGGCTGATTCATGCATATGTCTTGCAATCCTGGAACTATCCTAATAGATCCTTCTATCCTTCAACAACTGGAACTCATGATTGTGGCCCCACTTTACCTTGTTGAGGGACTAGCAGATATTTTTAATCAAATACTCTGAATGGGTCTCCTTTTGAATTTTAGGACATTTTAGATCAAATGTTGGTCTGTAGTGCACGAGTACAAGAAACACCTCTTGTATTTGCCCTGTAATGGGGAGTGCCTCTTTGGCACCTCCCTGGACAACTTTATCAAGGAATTCACTAGAGCAAAAAGTCTCTTTGCCCCAGAAAAAAAGGGCAAAGCCTCAGTCTTGCTCATTGAACTCCTAGAGTAGACAGTAAAGTTGGGACAGAAGTGACAGCAGCAAAGATCAGAGATCTTGGAGAAGGTGCAGGCTCTGCTGTACTCTTCCCCCTCCAGCTTCCTCCCTATTGTCAGAACAGTGCTGTATTATACATTAAGGCACCTTCAACTGTACCCTCCTGCCCGCCCCGTACTGTGCCCTCTTGAGCACCCCGTACACCCGGGGTGTGTGTGAAGGTTGGTAGAGGACTTGGCTTGGGGGATGTATAGGCGGGTAGAGTACATGGCTGTGGGGGGAAGGGGGTAGAGGACATGGCTGTGGGGAGGGTGAGGGGTGTGATGGGGCAGAGATAATTTACAAGCGTGTGTTCAGGGACGGAATTGGGGGCAGGGTAGGGGTTGGGTGGAGCAACTGGTGGCGAGTAACTCTTAAGGCCTGGCTAGTAGCTTAGGGCTTAACATTTTGAGCCCTGATTTATATTCCTCTTATATGTTCCAACAAAAATGTGCATTTTCTGTGCTCAGAAGGAATTGTGATTGAGAGAATTTAATATTGGCTCGTCAAATTTGGAGCCCTTGCATTTTTAGCTTATCCTGCCCTAAGTTTGAGCTGCCAGCATTGCATTGCTGAACAGCTGAGGATTCCATTTTTCAACGTGCACAACAGATCACGTATTCTTTATACTTGCACTCAAGATTACAGACCTCTCACCACAGTGAAAGACAAAAATTGTTTTTATCTGCTTATAAGTTTAAATATAATTTTGTGGATTTTATATGCATCAGTGTTTATCCCTAAGCATAAAGGTATAGTACTGTAAACCAGTTTTAAGCAGGTGTGGAAGAAAATGCTGTAAATTAACCGCTTCAGGACCACCCACATTGTAATGCAGACCGGTGGCTCCTACAGACACAGTGATGTACCTGTGTGTCGCGGCTTGCTTCTGGGTCCAAGGTGCAGCTGGATTTTGTCAGCAAGTGGCAAACATTAACACTTGTAGGGATGCACTGATAGTTTTTACTGGCGAGCCAGCTCTGGCTCCCAGTCCCACTGTGGACATCAGATGCTGCGGCTTGGGCTCCTCCTCCTGCCCTCTTCCCACCCCCCCACCCCGCCTCCAGCGGTTCTAGCCATCCACTGGCCTGGTCATGAAAGAGGTTAAACCTTCCAGAGCTCAAGTGGTTAAGAATGCTTTCAGAAATAGAAGTGTTAATAGTAGGCTGCTTCAGATTCATCTCTCTCTTCATGTAATCGCAGACAGACTTAATGATTTTGAGATCAGGGCTCTGTTTTGTTTTTTTTTTTTTTGCATAATTGAGTCGCTTAGCCTTGTTTCCACGTCCTATGTATGAAAACATTGGAACTGGAGTGCAGAAAAATGGTTACCAGTGCCCTGGACTAAGGAGCCAAAATTTGAAATATTTGGCTGTAGCAGGAGGCAGTTTGTTCATGTAGGACTGGAGAGCGGTACATTGAGTGTCTGCTGGCAACAGTGAAGCGTGGTGGTTCCTTGGAAGTTTGGGGCTGCATTTCTGCAAATGGAGTTGGAGATTTGGTCAAGATCAGTGGAGTCATCAATGCTGAGAAATACAGGCAGATACTTCATCCATCATGCCATACCATAAGCTAGTGGTTGGCCCCATATATATTCTGCAACAGGACGAACAATCCCAAACATGCCGCCAATGTCATTAATAACTATCTTCAGCATAAAGAACAACGAGTCCTGGAAGTGATGGTTTGGCACCACAGAGCCCTGATTTCAACATCAGGTCTGCAGCACAGTGGCTAAATGGTTAGCACTTCTGTCTGGCAGTACTGGGGTCGCTGGTTCGAATCCCAACCACGGCACCACCTGCCTGGAGTTTGCATGTTCTCCCTGTGCCTGCGTGTGTTTCCTCCGGGTACTCCGGTTTCCTCCCACACTCCAAAGACATGCTGGTAGGTGAATCGGCTCCTGTCTAAATTGGCCCTAGTAGGTGTATGTATGAATGTGAGTTAAAGACCTTAGATTGTACACCCCTTGAGGGTTAGGGACTGATGTAAATGTACAATATATATGTAAAGAGCTGCGTAAATTGACAGCGCTATATAAGTACCTGAAATAAATAAATAAGTCTGTCTGGGATTACATGAAGAGATGGAAGGATTTGAGGCAGCCTACATCAACAGAAGACCTGTGGTTTGTTCTCCAAGGTGTTTTGAACAACCTACCTACGGAGTTCTTTCAAACATTGTGTGAAAGCGTACCTAAAAGAATTGACACTGTTTTGAAGACAAATATTGATTTATTTATTTTATTACAAGTACTTATATAGCGCCATCAATTTATGCAGTTCTTTACATATGTATATACACTATATTGCCAAACGTATTGGGATGCCTGCCTTTACACGCACATGAACTTTAATGGCATCCCAGTCTTAGTCTGTAGGGTTCAATATTGAGTTGGCCCGCCCTTTGCTGCTATAACAGCTTCAACTCTACTGGGAAGGCCGTCCACAAGGTTTAGGAGTGTGTCTATGGGAATGTTTCACCATTCTTCCAGAAGCGCATTTGTGAGGTCAGGCACTGCTGTCGGACGAGAAGTCCTGTCTTGCAGTTGCCTTCACCATACTTTACACTTGACATAATGCAGTCAAGGAAGTACCGTTCTCCTCGCAACTGCCAAACCCAGACACGTCCATTGGATTGCCAGACAGAGCAGCTTGATTCGTCACTCCAGAGAACGCTTCTCCACTGCTCTAGAGTCCAGTGGCAGCGTACTTTATACCACTGCATCCAACACTTTGCATTGCACTTGGTGATGTAAGGCTTTGCAGCAGCTGCTCAGCCATGGAAACCTATTCCATGAAGCTTTCTACGCACTGTTGTGCTAATCTGAAGACCACACAGAGTTCAGTGGTCTTTAACTATTAACTCTGCAAACTGTGCGCTTCAGCACATGCTGATGTGGATTCCTCTTCTGTTAATTTGCTTTCAATTTTTAACCGCTTGACCGCCTCCCTATAGCAGAAATACTGCTACAGGGGGGCAGGGCTGCACAAAATCATATACATATATATATATATATATATATATATACATATATATATACATATATATACATATATATACATATACATATATATATATATATATATATATATACATATATATACATATATATATACAGTATATATACATATATATACATATATATACATATATATACATATATATAACATATATATACATATACATATATATATATATATATATATATATATATATATATATAACATATACATATACTTATACATATACATATATCATATATATATATATTATATATATATATATATACATATATATATATATATATATATATATATATATATATACATATATATATATATACATATATATACATATACATATACATATATATATATATACATATATATACATATACATATATATATATACATATACATATATATACATATATACATATACATACATATATATACATATATATATATATATATATACATATATACATACATACATATATATATATATATATATATATATATATATATATTTATATATATATATATATATATACACATATATATACATATATTACATATATATATACATATATATACATGTTGTTTGCATTTTCAGATAGGGCCATAGGCGGCTAGGGATGTCAATCACCTGGTCCCGGCTGGCGGTTCCACACTGGCACCCTGTGATCGTCTGGGAAAGCTGATGGGAGAAACCTGTGTGTAAACAACACAGGTCTCTCTGCTGTCAGTATGGACATGCTGTTTTGCATCTCTCTCTTTTTATTAGCACTGATCACTGTATTAGTGTCACTAGGGATGTCAGTGGCAGTTAGTTTCCACCCAGTGTCAGAATGCCCGCCGCAGTCCCGCTAGAAGTTGCTGATCGCCGCCAATACTATTATAAAAATAATAAAAATTAAAATTTCAGTATATACACTGCTATTTGTAGATTCTATAACTGTCACGTAAGCCAATTAATTTACATGTATTGGGATTTTTTTTAGCAAAAGGCATGTAGCAGAATACATTTTGGCCTAAATTTATGACGCAATGTGATTTTTTTTAATAATTTTTTATTGGATATGTTTTGTAGCAAAAAGTAATATATAAAAAATTTTATTTTCAAAATTGTCAGGGTTTTTTTTTTTTTTTTTTTTTTATAGTTCAAAAAATAAACGCAGAGGTGATCAAATACCACCAAAAAGAAACTCTATTTGTGGGGGGGGAAATGACATAAATTTAATTTATGTACACCATTGCATGACTGCGCAATTGTCCGTTAAAGTAATGCAGTGCCGTATCGTAAAAAATGGCCTGGTCAGGAAGGGGGGTAAATCCTCTGGGGGGCAAGTGGTTAATTGATAAAAATAAACTATCACTTGTCTTTCTGAAAGCATTCCTAATTGACAGTATTTTTTCACACCTGCCTAAAACTCTTGCCTAGTACTGTATCTAATTTATTAATTCATGGGAGGAAATTTTTACAAAATTATGGACCTAGTTCTAAAAAGCTCTATCAGAAGATTTTAAACTTCTACTAATTTTTTTTTTTTTTTTTTGCAGTAAATTATTCTCGACCAGTAATTATTTTAGGGCCAATGAAGGACCGAATTATGATGATTTGATCTCTGAATTTCCTGAAAAGTTTGGGTCTTGTGTTCCCCGTAAGTATTATGTCTGCATTCAGGAACTGTATTTTGGGTTCAGATAAAGGTTTTGCATAAAACAAGGTATAAAATTGTCGGTACAATGGCCTTTCAAAGCAACTAGCTGTGGACAATAGGTAAAGAATGTTTCCTCAATATGTTCTTGATGTGTCTGTTGTACTGTGTATTTGTGTTAAAAAGTATCCTGTTCTCTTTGTATTTCTTTCTTTGTATGAAATACCTGGTTCTCCTGTCAGCCCACCTGATTTCCTGTTTCAAACTGACCACGTTAGGCATAAGAGTACATTCTTCCCATTGTGGTCTGTTTTTCTGGCTGTGCTGGGAAAATGGCCTACCTGTCCTCCAATGATCAGACTTGTGCTGACATGCCCCTCTGCACAGCCATTCACTGAGAAGATATGTGTCCTGTTCTTTCCCAATCCCCCTCTCTTAAGCTGCAGAGTGTTCTCCACCCCCACCTCTCTAAATCTGCAGCTGAGAAGAGAGATTGTGATCACTTCTAAAAAGAAAAATGTATCTGTATTTTTTATATATACACAAATGGTTTGCCTTTTATTTCTATTTTAAACGAATAGGTTGTTTTATAAGGTAAGGGTTCACATATACTTTAGAACAAACCTGACATATTTTATGAGGGTTGCCATTCCTGACCTCCTGAAACTGCTAGCTGCCTGGCTGTTTTTGTTAACCCTCAAGATTTCATATTTTTTAAATCCCTGTATGAAATGTCAGCATGATATCCAGGCAACAAGCATCTTCAGAAGAAGAACACAGCAGTGGAAATTTCCATATTTATACAGCATGTTAAAGGGCACTTGTGCTCAGACTATGGATATTAATATATGTACATATTCTTAAGCCATAAAAGAGCTTTAAACAAACCATCCCTGACCTCCCTAGCTGTTAGTATAGTAAAGTTGTTCATTCTTAAAGGTGATGACTTAGACTTTAGGCAAGTGATTCCTAACCTTTTCTATGCCCCATACCCTTAGGAAATATTTGATTAATGTTCATATCTCCTACAAAAGTAATATCACATTTCAGAATGAAGACGACTTTTTTTAATTTTTGAACCATGTACCAAATGAAAAGCAGCTCTGCTCACATGCGTTTGTTGGATATACCGCCTGATTCAAGCATTGCTACCAGTTGCTGGGTCACTGATAAGTGCACGTCAAACCCAACCACAAATGATTCCTTGGGCCGCACACCAGTATAGTGAATCACAAAACAAATTATCACAAAATGACTTCAGCTAGCTCTTCACCCATCAACATTTGGGAAACATTTGTGGAACAAATTTAACCGCACACGATACTGCGTGTGAACAAATTCAACTTAAAAGAAAGTTCCAAATTGTAGGAATAGAGATTAATGATCCATTCTTCTGCAATCCTCATGTCTCCATCAACAGAATATCCATCGGATTTTCTGAGTGAAGCAATATACTTTTATGATCTTGAGAAAAAATGTGTACAATGTTTGTCAAGAGTATTGCTTGTAAAATTCATAACGCAAAACAGTTTTTCCTTTTATATTCATAATACCAAAATAGTGCAAACACCCCTGATATGACCAGTTTTTGGAAAGTATTTACCCCAAAGTGATCTTCATTTTTGACACTGTTTTTTCAAATTGAGTAAACATGCTGGCATTGAGGTGTTTTAAAACAGAGCTTGGTAACAGGGCACTAGATACCGTGCAGACAGGTCATTCACAGAGGGAGGAAGAAGTGAAGGGTTAATGTACAGAACCGTGAAAGGATGGAGAGAAAGGGTTCTTACAGGTCCCATAATAAGACCGGCTGAAGATCAGATGTATGCAATAGGCAGGGGCTAAGGGGTTAAAAGCCGTTTTTGATTTGGTGACCCTGATCTGTACCAGCAATTTTCAACTAATGAATGACTCATTCGTTTGTTCTTCTTACCTTCCCTTTCTCCATTTGTGAGAGTAAGGGGAGGGCTGGTCCAATATAAACACTACACTGTTTATATTTGTGATCACTGTAATTGAAGATCAACTGGTACATAGCCACAGCCACTCTCTGTGAACTGAGCTGTCTGATGAAAACTTCTATTTACAGCTACTAACATGTGCACTGGCTGCCTGAGGATGATTTTCACAGTGCCATTTATAAACTGCTCTGCAGAAATGTGTGTGCACCCTTTTTCCATTTTCAGACGTACAGCAGTAAGTGGTTAACAAATATGAACAACCGGTTCAAACCTTTATACATTTAAACAGACGTATAATTGATGAAAATCAGTATAGTTTCCCTTTATATAAACCATTTTATGTTTTACTTCAGATACAACTCGACCAAAACGAGATTATGAAGTAGATCGGAGAGATTATCACTTTGTCACTTCCCGGGAGCAGATGGAAAAAGATATTCAAGATCACAAATTTATAGAGGCAGGCCAATACAATAATCACCTGTATGGCACTAGTGTACAGTCTGTGCGAGAAGTGGCAGAGAGGGTAAGAGTTTTTCATTTTCTACTTTACTTTGTGATGGGTGTGGTTTCTAACTGAATTGACTGACTTTTTTTATTTCAGGGAAAGCACTGCATACTTGATGTGTCTGGAAATGCAATTAAAAGATTACAGTTAGCCCAGCTATACCCAATTTCTATTTTCATCAAGCCTAAATCGGTAGAAAATATAATGTAAGTATTGAGTTGACTGGTAACCAATTCCAATATTTAGCTGGTTTGCAAAATACACTATGGCTTTACATTAGCTGAGTGTATACTTTGCTACTCAAATGCAACCATGTACAGCTCTGTTGGAAGTAGTGGCTAGGCCTCACAAGTGCTAAGTAAATCTTCTATCTCCTGCTGCTGCTTGAGTGCTGTGTGACGAGGAAGAGAGGGGAGAAGAGATGCAGCCGTGTACAAAGCTAGATATATTCTCCCCCTCTCTTCCCCTTCACACAGGGAATGGAGGAGGGACAGAGAAATGGAAACATTTTTTACCTTAATGCAAAGAAAGCACTGAGATAAAAGAAAAAACAAAAGTTCTTGGTCACTAATTCAGTTGTTTGTACCTGAACAGGGAGATGAATAAACGTCTAACAGAGGATCAAGCCAGGAAAACATTTGAGAGAGCTATGAAACTGGAGCAGGAGTTCACAGAACATTTTACAGGTTTGTTTCAGACATTTGGCTCCTGGATCTGAATATGCAAAAACCCCATCCAGTCTACACCTTGAGTACCCCACTGGGGATCCCCTTACTTAGCAATAGCATCTCATAGATTCAAGGGAGCTGGGACAAAAGCGCTGAATAGTATGCATATCGGAAACTCAGAACACTGCTCAGGGTAGGTGATGGCTGTTCCCTTGTCCCTGATGTGCCCCAGGACAAAAAGAATATAACTGATAAAAGGCATGGAGCAGCTCAGCTATGATGAAAGATTAGAGGAGCTGGCATTTTTTTTGCTGGCTGATAGCTAAAAAGAGTGGGAAATTTGAGTGGAGAGTGAAAACAGTTTTGCTTTTCACTGCTGCTGATTGCTGGTGCTTGTAGTTGTTTTATTTTCTTCTTTGGGTCTTGGTAAAAAAAATTTTACTTTTTTAAATAACTTTTTCTGTCACTTTTTAAATAGCATATTTTTTCTTCCTTTCCTAGTCTTCCATCAGTTTGCTAATTAAGGGTAGAAGTTAATTGGTCACAGGTGATACAGGTCCTATATAACTTGCTGTAGAGCTTACTCGTTTTTGAGCTTGCCTGTATTTTGCTTGCTGGACCTTTGACCAAGTGGACATTTGATAAGCGGAGTTAAAAAACCGGAGTTGAAAACAGGAGATTATAACAGGAGTCTTACTAACCTGTAAGTGACAACTGATATTTCCTGTTAATATTGTAACTGGGATAATGTGTGCTAGCAGGGTGGAAGGTTTTGTGCAGTGCACAGTGTGCCACATGTATACAGCAATGGAGAAACTGCTCCAGGATGGATACCGCTGCAATAGATGTGAGTGGGGTGCCCTTCTGGAAACGTGCGCTAGATTTCTGGAGGAGCAAATTGCAACACTGGGGAGAACCGACAACCTTGAAAAGGGTCTTCTGCTCTCTGAGTAGGTAGCTAATGGGATTGATGTGGAGGGCTAATCAGGATTATCAGGTAGGAAGATGGGTTACTGTAACGAGAAGGAGTGGTAGGGGCTCACAGAAAAGGAAGGCCGGCCCTGCTTTTTTGTGCACCCAAACAGACTTGCCAAGTTCTGTGAAGATGTGGGGGTGGCAAGCTCAGGGGTGGCGTCCCTGGATTTCACTGTTATCCCTAACAACCGGGAGGGCAGACCATCTGGGAGGGGTGGTGAGGGTAGTGCAGGAAGGCCTAGACAGCTGGTGATAGTATGGAATTCTATAATCGGAAGGACTGATAGAATAATTTTTCGCCAGGCTCGCCTCAACCGAATGGTTTGCTGTCTCCCTGGTGCCAGGGTTCGGGTTGTGGTGGACTGGGTTGATAAATTACTGGGAGGGACTGGGCATGACCCAGCTGTCTTGGTCCATGTTGGAACCAATGACAGAATACATGGAAGGTGGAGGCTCCTTAAGAATCAATTTAAAGAACTAGGCTGCAAGTTGAAGGGAAGGACCTCCAAGGTGATATTCTCTGAAATACTACCTATGCCATGCGCAACTCAGGAAAGGCAGGGAGAGATTAGAGAACTCAATGCATGGCTGAAGACCCGGTGTAAGAGGTAAGGGTTTGTGTTTCTAGAGCACTGGGCTGACTTTTTATTGGGGTGCAACCTATATGATAGAGATGGTTTGCACCTAAATGGAAGGGGTTCTGCTGTGCTGGGGGAGAGGCGTATGGATAGGCTTGGGGAGTATTTAAACTTGGATCGAGGAGGGAGAGAAAATTAGATTATAACGGGGAAGACAGATCATACAGGGGTCAGTACTTACTGGTGGTGGTGGAATGGGGAAAGATGGGGGGAAGGCTATGGCAGATGATAAGAAGGTTCCCATGTTACAAACAACCAGTGGAATTGGTACCATTTGTATGAAAATAAAAAATATGCAAAATATGTGTGAACAAGGTGTAAATGAATTAAAGTGTTCACCAATGCCAGAAGTCTTCAAGCGAAATAAGTGAGTTGGAAGCTTTGGTGCATGAAGAGAACTATGATTTAATTTGTATTGCTGAATCTTGGCTTCATTCTTCACATGATATGGCCATTAATATTCCTGGCTATGTTCTCTTTCGGAGAGACAGGGTAAATAGGAAAGGTGGTGGTGTCTGTCTCTATGTAAGAAGTGATCTCAGAGCAAGCGTGAAAGAGGACCTAGTTGATGGAGTGTGTGACGAGGCTGAAGTATTATTGGTGGAACTGCACATGGGGGTGCGTACAACAAAGGTAATCACTGGAGTTTGTTATAGGCCTCCCAATGTTAATGAGGAGGTGGAGAGTCTGCTCCTTGCACAGTTTGAAAGGGCTGCAAAGGTTGGGATAGTGATAATGGGAGATTTTAATTACCTGGAAATTGACTGGAGTAATGGTACTGCAGGAACAGTTAAAGGGCAAACATTTTTAAACCTACTACAGGACAATTTTATGGTACAGTTCATAGAGGCCTCTGCTAGGAATGATGCTCTGCTAGACTTGGTAATCTCAAACCATGCAGAGCTTATTACGAATGTTCATATAAAAGAACATCTGGGTAGCAGTGACCATAACATGATTTAATTTATTGTTAGCTGTAAACAGCAAGCGCATACGGGAAACATAAAAATGCTCAATTTTAAGAGAGCTAATTTTTTAAGGCTGAGAGCTGCTCTGCAAAGACTTAGACTGGGGGGGAATATTGACATCAATGAACACAACACAGAAATGAGAGTTCTTCAAAGTGACTGTATGTGAACACACTGCAAAATATATTCCCATGGGCATCAAAAATCAAACCTGTATGGCTTACAGCCAAAGTTAAAAAAGCTATAGGTAATAAGAAAAAAACTTTTATTAACCACTTCAAGTCCAGACACGTTTACCCCCGTCCTGTCCAGGCCAATTTTCAGCTTTCAGTGCTATCACACTTTAAATGACAATTGCGTGGTCATGCAACACTGTACCCATATGAATTTTTTAGCATTTTTTTTTTAGAAAGATAAAGCTTTATTTTGGTGGTATTTATTCACCACTGGGATTTTTATTTTTTTTGCTATGTGAATGAAAAAGTCCAACAATTGAGTGTTTTTCTTATAAAATTTTGCAAATATTTCATCATAAATCTTGGGCAAAATTTATTCCGTTAACTTTTTAGTAAAAATAACCCAAATGAGTTTATAACCAAAAATTATAATTTGTTAATATTTTTTTTTTTTATTTTTTATATATTTTTTTTTTTACTTACTGTCACCCTAGCAGTACAGTGTCACCATGGTGACACCGTACTACTTGTGGGGGGTGATGAAGGTTTTTTTTTTTTTTTTTTTTTTTTTTTTGCTTTTACAACCATAAAGGCTGGAAAAGCAATCATTTCTCCTTCTCTCTGGCTGCATTCTTGCAGCCATTGAGAACTACTGTGTGAGCTGTGATTGGTCACAGCTTGTCACATGGTACAAGGCTGTTGTGAATAGCCTTGTACCATGTGACCTCTGTGATCATTCACAGATTTCACACGTAGTAAGCAATGATTTCAGAAGTGACATCTTGCTTAGTACTATGCATGTGATCACTGATTGGCCAATCAGTGATCACATGATCTGGACCTCGCACAGAGGTCCCGTATGATGATCAGGGGTTCCACTGTGTCCGGAGGACACAGCTGGCACATGGAACGCGGTGCTGCGTGCCCCCAGGGAGCACGCACAAGCAGGGGGCGGGAGGCCGTTTATAAACGGCCACCCGATTCTGCACTGCCATCATCCGGCCGTTTATATACGCCGGACGGGAAGTCGTTAAATGTAAAAATGAAGGAACACTATAATCGTTTAAACATCACAAAGAGTATAACAGAATATGCAAAAAGGAAATAGAGGAAGCAAGAATTGAAAATGAACGACAGATTGCAAAAGATAGCCGTACCGACCCCAAAAAATTCTTCAAATATATTATTAGTAAAAAGGTCCGGTCCGAGCATGTAGGCCCTTTACAAAATAATCTAGAGTGGGTGACTGGGGACAAAAAGAAGGCAAATTTATTGAATGCCTTCTTCAGCTCTGTGTATGCCAAGGAGCATGGGGGACCTCTTGTCTATAATGGGAATGGTATTGACACAGCTCCAGATGATCCACATTGGCTCACAATTGATATGATCCTAAAATATTTAGACAGAATAAAGGTGAATAAAGCACCTGGACCGGATGGCATACACCCACGGGTCCTTAAAGAATTGAACTCTGTCATTATAAAGCCATTGTTTCTAATTTTTAGGGACTCTAATGACTGGCATAGTACCACTGGATTGGTTTAAGGTCAATGAGGTGCCAATATTTTAAAAGGGGTCAAAATCTTTACAAGTATATATAGACCTTTTACACTATGCTCCTGCCAGAGCACAGGAGGTCTGTGAACAGTCAGAGGATCCACATACCTCGCCTTCCTTAGCAGTGCATACCCACAGATGCTTAGAGTCCAACACCCACTCATATAGATGCAGAATTTGGAGATCAGTTATTGCCCCTGGCAAGCCTTCATCATGAGGGTGCACTCCCACTCCTAAAATCTGAGGACTGCACAAATGAATGGGATCTCAGGTATGTGCTTGCTTAGCTTTTGAATGCTCCTAGTACTCCCTTTTGGCTCACAGACTAATTTCTTGAAGAAAGTATCTATTTCCGATGGCACGTAGCATGTTTCCTGTGCTACTACATATAGGGGTCCTCCCTTGCACTCTGGGACATCCTCTTCCTGTCTTAGGAACCTTCCCTTGAAAGGTGTTTTCTACAAGGGTATTCACACTCCTCCTTAGGGAAGTTCTGTATTCTTGGACAATGCTAATATTTAATATTCCCCCCTTCCAGAGGTATCTACTGAGTCAGTTGGGACCAGATTCTTCTGCTCCCTTCCCTAGTAGGGTCTTGGTTCTTCAGTGTCCTTCAAGGGCACTGATACATGTTGACTGCGTTGGACTTACAGTATGTCTATCATTGTGTTTTTCTTGGTGATCCCTTTATGGTAATCTTAGAGTATCTTCCTTGAAAGGGGTAAGATTGACTGGACTCTGATAGCCAGAATTCTCTCAAAGGGCCCAACTCCTGCAAGTTTCTTATTGGAGCCTTACAGTGGTAGTAGCTATTGGTCACTAATGAGCAAGGCTGACCTGCTTAGTTCCTAGCTAAAGCATTCTGCATTCTCTGAGTTAGTGGAATCTTCCCCAACAGTCAAGAAGTCCCCCTCTTTCCCATTTAGGGACTAGTGGGGCACTTTTCCCTAAACATCCCCTTGATATCTGGAAGTCTGGGCTTGAGGCAAGACCTGCAAGCAGTGCCTATGAATTCATTGGTTCCTCATATGCTCACACATACACTCACAAATTTTGGGTGGACTCCTTGACTCTGTAGGTCAACACCTTGGTACCCCAATACTTCACCTTTGGGAAAGCTTGGGAATTCTCCCTGTGACTCTCCCTGTGTGTGCGGGTGACCTGTGAGACATGGCATGCATTCAAGGATGAGTTTGGATTATTTGAAGTCCGGCCCTCCTACTGTAGCTGATTTACATCTTCTATGGGGAAATTAAAATCTCTTCCCTGCTTCTATTCTTAATCAGATGACTCAGCTTGCTGGCTCAGGTTCCCCCTATTCATTCCACAGCTGTGGACGCATCACTATATTGTGTCAAAATCGGAGGACATGTACTCCTATGTCCTGAAATGGGTATGCAGACTCTTCGCATGGTTTTTTTCCTGTCAGGTTCTAGTAACACTGTTTTTTGTCCTTGTGGACAGGTCTGCTCATCCTACTATTTTCTGGTGTTGCTGCCCCAGTATGGGGTGTTAGTCTTCCCACTTCTATTTGTGTGGGGGGTTCGATTTGTGTGGCACCCTTTGTCAGTTTCTCTGCCTTCGGTTGTTTTCATTTGGGTTTGTCTCCAGTTTCTGAGGTTATTGACCAATTCGCTTTGGAAATTTCGCTATTTTATCATATGAGATTGGATGGCTGTAAAAGCCTTCCAAACTCATTGGAGCCTTTCTAGCCTGATGTCTAGGGTCATAGGTTTAAGGCTTGGAGTTTGTCTTCCTCAGACTGACAGATCTTGACTTTGTGGACCCGTTGTCCAATTTTGGTTTTGAGATCTGTTTTGAGGCTGTGAAACCTTCTAGTGTTCCCTTTGCCTCATTCTTGTTTGTCTGTTCTTCCCATTCAGGTAGTTATGTTACTCTACCTGTTGATTGCTTGACTTGCAGCCTCTGATGGGGCTGACTAATGTGCCTGTTAAGGTAGTCATACCCATTGTCTGTGATGCACTATGTTGATCCCCTGTGACTTTCCCTTGGTCATTAGCAATTCCCTTGTCTTTTGGAACTTTGTCCAGAAAGTTCCCCTTGGTTTGAGTGCTTTTAGATGTCCCAACTGTTTCAGAAATATTGTTCTTTATTGAATGAATTGATTGAAGACTATTGGGGACCCAGGTCCTGTTCCTCTGTGACTATTGGCATTATGTACTGCGGGCTCACAAAACTAAGGCATGATGGTTAAAGGTGGAGTTATAGGGAGACTGGCCTACAACTTTTTTTTTTTGCCAGTGCCCAAACCTTCTGTAGCAACAGTATCTAACTGGAATTTTTTTTTTTTTTTTTATAATTCCTATGTCTCTTAAGAGCAGTGTTTCTCAACATTTTTACTCTAGAGGAACCCCTGGCAAAAAGTTTGAATCTTGGGGAAACTTGAAGAAAAATTTTCAGATCTACAGCTCACAGAACATTGAATGTGACTGATTAGCTGTGGATATAACCACAATTATTGTAGAAATAGCATTACATAGAATAAATATTAGGGGAAAAAAAAAAAAACTTGCCCGACACCAACATTGTGGTGTGAACATGGCACATAGAAATCAGTTTTCTTTGTCCTTGCAGAGACCTACTTTAGAAAAACATGTCTCTGCACATAGTGTGAACAAGCCCAAAATATTCTATGTAGGTGCTTTTTTTAACACGTGGTTTGAATGAGGCCTTACTGAACATGAACAAAACTCCCAAATACTGTGATTTATAAATAAGGCAACACTGCAGGAACAGTTGGGCCTCGTTCACAACATTCACTATATTGCCAAAAGTATTGGGACGCCTGCCTTTACACACACATAAACTTTAATGGCATCCCCGTCTTAGTCCGTTAGGTTCAATATTGAGTTGACCCACCCTTTGCAGCTATAACGTTTTCGACTTTTCTGGGAAGTCTGTCCACAAGGTTTAGGAGTGTGTCTATGGGAATGTTTGACCATTCTTCCAGAAGAACATTTGTCAGGTCAGGCACTTACATCCCAAAGGTGTTCTGTCGGGTTGAGGTCAAGACGTGCAGGCCAGTCATGTTCCTCCATCCCAGACTTGTTCATCCATGTCTTTATGGGCCTTGCTATGTACACTGGTGCGCAGTCATGTTGGAACAGGAAGAGGCCATACCCAACCTGTTGGCAGCATGCAATTGTTCAAAATGTCTTGGTATGCTGAGGACTTAAGAGTTCCCTTTGCTGGAACTAACAGGCTAAGCCCAACCCCTGAAAAACAACTCCACTCCATAATCCCCCTCCACCAAACTTTACACTTGGCACAATGCAGTCAGGCAAGGACCGTTCTCCTGGCAACCACCAAACCCAGGCGCATCCATCAGATTTCCAGACAGAGAAGCTTGATTCATCACTCCAGAGAACACATCTCCACTGCTCTAGAATTCAGTGGCAGCGTGCTTTACACCACTGCATCCGAAGCCTTGCATTGCACTTGGTGATTTAAGGCTTGGATGCAGCTGCTTGGCCATGGAAACCCATTCCATGAAGCTCTCTACGCCTTCTTGTGCTAATCTGAAGGCCACACGAAGTTTGGAGGTCTTTAGCTACTAACTGCAAACAGTGGGCGAATTCTGTGCACTGTGTGCTTCAGCATGCACTGACCCATTTCTCTCATTTTACGTGGCCTACCACTTCATGGCTGAATTGCTGTTATTCTCAGTTGCTTCCACTTTGTTATACTACTGCTAACAGTTGACTGTGGAATATTTAGTAGCAAGGAAATTTTACAGATGGACTTGTTGCACAGGTGGCAACCTATCATGGTACCACGCTTGAATTCACTGAGCTCCTGAGAGAGACCCTTTCTTTTTTTTTTTTTTTTCTTTTGGCAGATATGGTAAAGTAACATTTTGATTGTGGTAAATTTAACATGTAGTAAATGCTTTTTTCCCCCAAAAAATTGGCACAGAAACCAAATGTTGCTTAATATTTAGGTGATTCTACTAATATTTTTTTTTCTTTCTTATTTAGCAATTGTGCAGGGTGACACTTTTTGGAGGAAATTTACAATCACGTGAAACAGATCATAGAAGAACAGTCTGGCTCCTACATCTGGATTCCTGCAAAAGAGAAGTTATGAGACATGAAGAGAAATCTGTTTGGAGCCCCTATCACTGCCCATTCACAGCATCCTGTACCTTCTCCCATAGGAGCAGGCCCGGTTTGTACGGGACTGTTCTTGCCACTTATTTGCTGCCCTTCCATCCACCTTTCACACGGTTATATTTTATTTAATTTTAATACTGTCAAATTTAATTTCTTAAAATGTTTTTTTTTTTTTGTTTTTAAAGAAGGTGGAAAGACTAGAGCAGTTATTTAGGGTTAGAAAATAAGTGGCAAAAATTCCTTAATGTTTAAGGGAAAGTTGCAAATACATTTTAAAGGAAAAAAAAAAAAAAGCTTTATAGACAATTTTCAAAAAAAAAAAAAACATTACATGAAATAAGTGGTCTTAACAATATTGTCAGCATCTTTGCACAATTTGCATTTAACAGCATGGTTTGGCCTATGCATTTAATTCTCTATTCTTTTGACTTGATCTGGTTCTCTACATAGGCAGAGTTTCTCTTGGCATTCTGTTGCCTGGTTGCAGCTGCATTGCATAACATTTTTGGTTCTGCAATCTGCTTTAAAGCACCTTCTGGCAATGGAAAGGCTATCTTCAATCATTTGTCATAAGAACTTTTTGGTTTTGTCTTGTTGAATTGTATGTACTCCAGCGTTCTTTATATGAATGACTTTTAAACTTGATTAATCAAATGCATATAACACAATTTAAAATGTCTGACAAACTTTTGATATGGATCACCTTTGTGAAAAGAGAGATGAATCTTTCAGGTCATTAACATAGCCTCTCTAATGTAAATAAACACTACAGGAAATCACATCCCTACATCTCATTTGGAGAATTGGATTCATAGACTTAATGCTGTATGTGTATTCTTAGTAGACAGATTTTAATATTTTACCCACAATAACTGCCTATTTTGTTATAAAAATATATATTAAACTTTCTTTAAATTCTAACTATGGGAGTACTTTTCTTGCACATGTGCATATATAAATATAAAAATATATTTTTTTCTCTTATCACCAGTTTTTTTTTTTCTTTTTCTTTTGGAAGACGAATGGAATTTATTGTATCTTCCTTTCATGTGAAATATGAACAAGACATCAATGGCTGTGTTAATTGATGCTGGAATAAGGAAGGTTAGCCACTTAATTAAATCTAGGCGTGTTCTCCTCTCTTCTGAAGAGTCCTCTATGTTTTATTTTTTATGTAATGTGCATGTTTTTATGCTGTGTGATATGTAAGCTACAGTGGTCCTAAGTAGTGTTTTATTTGATTTTGTTTTGTTATGGTTTTTTTTTTGCATTTTTTTTTTTCACATGACTTCACCAAGCTTGCATGTACCATGTCCATGACAACCATCTTTAGCCACATCAGTTTAAAAGTGAGCCTTTGGGTGGGGGAGATAAACGTTTATTCAGACTAAAATTCTTTGGTACTTATCAACTGTTTGATTTTTGGAATTAATAAAAACATATATCCTTACAGCCTCATTAAACCTTTACCAAGTAAGCATTAGTTTGTGATGAACAAGCAGCATTATTCATTCCATTTGTCAGAAAGAGGAGAACAGCAAATAAAATTTTATGGAAAAATGTAAATGTGTGGCGTGTGTCATAATTTAACCTAAATATTCAATGCTTTTGTATTTTTAAGTAATGTTACAATATAAAGTAAGACTTTTTCTCCTCACCAGTTATGTTACTTCCAGCGTTGCCTCACTGTCTATTATTTTTGACTGTGTTGAGGGGCTGGCCCATCTCAAGGCAGAAGTTTCTGTTTAAAGCTTCCTGAAACCTAATTTTCCAACTTTGGTAAAAAAAAAAAATCATATGCTCAAGTTTATGTAGGTAGATGGTAAACCTAGTTGGATTTTTCTTGGTTGTAAGATCATTATGCTTTCATGTATTTATGGCTTTTAAACAAGCATTTAACTGTGTTGTCTGCTAATTCATCATTCTACCTTGTGTTGTATTTGGTGTACAGTTAATTACACTAATTTATACTCCAGGCAGCTCACACTTTTAAGAAATTCACTGATTACAGCCTGCATATTCTCTCAATAGAGGTTTCTGTTAAAATGTATCGATTATGTTTTTTCATCATTCTGATTTTTTTCCAAACTATATTTTGCTTTCCCTAGTTCCTCCTCCTTGCCCTCATCAACATAGTAATGGCCATGTATAATAAATTATAATCTTAAATGCAAAGAACACCCGTGGGCTTAAAGCAAATCTGTGCACCCAAGCCAAGGAAACACACTCCAGCGCCTTACCAGATCCCAATGACCATTGTAATTATAAATGGCCATCCAGCGCTTTAGGAGTTAAAGCCTGCCATCGGCAAGTATGTCTCCTCCACAAGCCTGGTATAGGATGTGCAGCCACAGCAACTCAAAGATAAGGGATGAGAAGCAATACCATAGTGTAAAACCGTATCCGTTACTTTATTCAAAGAATTAAAGTGCAAACTCACAGCAAAAAAGTCTCCAGTCAGAGTATAAACCATAACTTGGCATTCCTATGGGCTTGCAGTTCAGACCTGGCCATCAATCAGCTCTGCGTGCGTGATGACGTCACTCCCACAGGCCCCACCCTACACATCTTGTCACAGACGACATCAGGGGGACAGGCTGCCTCAGCCCTTCCACCTGACAACGTCATCTATGACAAAATGTATTTGCAAAGACATATCCACTTACACACTGTGTGCACATTCTTGGGTTATTGATATGTTTATTAGACGTCCATTATTATATTGTGGGTTGGGGCATGTTCTCTACTCTAACGTAGCTTAGAGTGTTTCCCAACTTCTCTATGCAGAGTGAAAGATTTTTCATCAGGAGATTTCCTGAAATCTTTTGTGGTCAAGTATAAAACTAACAGCATTAGTATTGTGGAGGACATTTGGAAACCCTTACATTGTGGAGGTCTGGAAGTAATGGAGAGCGAGGCTGGGTGCCAGCATACCAGAAAGTGAAGTAAAATATCCTTAACAGATAAACAAAAGAAAAAGGTTATAACCTATGAAAAAATAATTCAGTGTAGCTCAGGGTGTGGTTGCCATAGTCCCTGTTTGTATAGTATAAAGGATTTTTTCTTACATATGGTGGGATTTTAAAGGCAGCCTTAATTTACACAAGGAAAACTACTTCTTTAAGAGTCAATTTTTATTTATACATCCAATATATCATTACAAGTGTTTGCTCTACAAGCACATACAAAATGGATATCAAAGTATTTACAGATACACCTCAAAGCAACTGAAGCTACTTATTGAGTTTAAATATTATGTGTTCCAACGTTGATCCGGTGGTATCCCGCATAGCGGATTTCCATCTTGCAACCTCTAGGTTTCATTACAGATATATTTTTAACCTGGGATCCAACATGTTATGAATATTTATCATAAATTCTTCTTCGGGGATATGATACTACTCTAAAATATAAATATTTGATAACCAGGTCTAGCAAGTTTTTTTTTTTTATATATAGAATTGTGAGTTAATACAAGACTAAGCCATATAAGGTCAAAAATTTACATAACCAAGTGTCAACATGTCAGGAGATAAATTCCCTCCAGAAGTGAAGCCATTATTTTGGTGTGCAAAGACCACTGGTGCCGCACCACAACACTGCCATAATGAAAAAAATATGTATAGTATAATATACAATAATGAATAAATAGCAAGGAGCACAGGGAATTAGCATCACCATTAGCAAGTAATGTATGTAGATCAATAAAGGTTAATATCAAAATACTCATCAATGTATGAACCCCTTTATTAGATATTAATAAGGGCTTACATTCCAACTCATTTTGTGCTTCCCATCAATTAATACCCAAGGAGGCATAAAGTAAGACATACGAAGCTCAAACATTATATGATTATCTACTAAAGTTCAAAAAAAGTTACTATAAATATCAGCAAACCGTGCCCATGCCTGTTTCCCAACTCACCAAATTGCCATAAGAATGGCATTCCTCCAACACATCCAGCTGAAAGTCACTCCAACTGATCCTTATCCCCAGTTGCTCGAATTGTGGCTTTAAATATGGGTAAATGTGTGGTGTTGCCTATTTCCTCCCTTAACCTCCCTGGCGGTCTGATTATTTCAGATTTTTGGTGCTGAAAGCGGTACCATTATTTTGCATGGAAATTTGGCGTTTTATATTGTAGGCCTGTCATTTTTAGGAATAACTCACTGAAATCTGTCCGAACAAGAGTCTAGTAAACATCCCGGGTATGTTAAAATTTGAAACGTGAAATCATAAATTATAATTTAATAAACAATCATAAACAATAATTAATAAATTTAATTCAATAATATAATCAAACCAAAAACACTGAAATTTGAAATATAGCGCCAAGTTTCCACATCACTGAGCAAAGTCGCAAAATCGTTTTCAGTGTCTGATGACAAATTTCCCCACGAATCATCACCCAGATAACAGATGCTGGCATCCGCCGGAATACATTGCCGGGGACACTGCAGGAGGGACATCGCGGGAGCGCAGGACAAGGTAAGAGATCGAGGGATCCCAGAGCAGCGCCGCATGGTAAGCCCGAGTGTAGCTCAGGGTTACCGCTTGTGATACTGAAACTTTACCCCGAGCTACACTCGGGAATACCGCCAGGGAGGCTACGCAGACCAGGTCTGCTAGATGTAAGGGGAGGAAAATGATGCCCATCATGTGATCTCTGGCATTCTCCCAAACTGCGCATGTGTGACTGTGCTCTGCACATCGACATCACATCCGGCTTCGGAATGACGTATTGCTGGAGACCGTGCGGGAGCCATATTGGAGACCTCCGCCAACACGGAAAGAATAAGGCTTGCACAAAACTGCACGAGAATTAGAGGAAAGGAAATATTACCTCCCCCATTGATCTACAGGGCCATAAACTGGTCCCCTTCCGTAGAACATGGATATGAGAGACCCATTTCGTGCCAGGCATTCCAGTTGAAGACCGCCCTGACAAAAAGAGGCAACCAAAACTCCCATAT